TGGGATTTCTGCCCCAGCCACTGCGCCCTGTGAATCCTGACGAACACTAGGCGGGATGGTCAGCACCAGAGGCTGAGCACGTCCAGATGCTTCAAAAACCGTCTGCCTTGTCCTGGATTCCCACAGCTCTGCAGCCGCGCGAGCACACAGACTACGCCTGCGGTCTGTCGCGCGCCGCCTAAGGATTCTGCCTTAGCGCGCGCACGCTGGAGGGGTAGGGAGAGAGCCGGGAGCAGTCCAATCTACTGATATCTGGCATCTCAGCCGCCGTGGGCGGGAGCAATCTGTCTCCGTTTACACGCCCTCCTCCGATCTGCAATGCGCGCAGCCCGAGGATTCTGCCTTAGCGCGTGCCCCAGCGGGGTGGGGAGTGAGCAGTGATCGCTCTCCGATCTACTGAGAATCCCCGGCTCTGCCTCCGTGGGCGCCAGCAGTCTGCCTCCTCCCACGAGTCCTCCTCAGATCTACTTTCCGGGTGGCCTGAGGACTCCGCCCCAGCGCGCGTGGGCCGGAGGACAGGTGAGGGAAGTTTCGGATCTGCTGAGATCCCCAGACTCAGAAGACCGGGCGTGTCTCCACACGCCTCGCCTCCCAATTCCCAAACCCACCGGGTCTGCCCACCTCTAAGTAGTCCACGTGGGAGTCCCGTTGCTGCTCAGCGTGTCCCACAGAGTTGTGTTTTCGCTGCCGTGGTTTGCGCGAACTAATTCAGTGACTTCCTTACCGCGGCCATTTTCTCCTCCTCTCTGGACCAGGGACCTACTTTTATTAAGCCGGTTATTTCTAGCTTTGGCCATCTTCCCTGCTACTATTGATATTGCAGAGAATACATGTATAAATTCTTAAAGGCAGAGATACCCAGTTTTCTAGCAATTAATGAATTTTCATAAAACCTTACTCAAAATAGGTGGGTTTTTTAGAACTTATTTCTTGGGATGCTCAAGATAAGGCTTAGCATTATGTAACTAACTCTCTTAGTCACAATAAGGGCTACCAGAAAGTGTAACATGATATCTGCTTTCAAGGAGTTTATGAGCTAGCAGGAAAGACAAAATTAATACTCTCAAGAAAGATCAGAGAATAATTAAGTGTTAAATATATACAGTATTTTCGTATGTGCAATTGTTTTATTGTATTTGTATCTCTTGTAGTTGGTGTTGGTTTGGACTACAAAACTTGGGAAGGGATTTGTGATGAGAGGGAAGGGGACTGTAATGTGGGATTTGAAGGACAACTAGGATTTAGATCCGCAGAAAAACAGTCTTTAGAAGTAGAGGAAACATTCTAAGGAGAAACACAGAAAAGGGTTAATATGAGGTATAGAGGAAAGAGAGAGACTATCTGCTTTGCAGAAACAGAGCACTTTGTTTGGAAAACTATCAGGAAGATACATAACAACGGTGCAATTGGACCAGATTATATATGTTATCTTAAAAACAAGATAGAGAAATTTGGACTTGATGAAATAATCTAGGGTCCCCAGCTAGTAGATTGCCATCTTCAAATGGATTATAAAGCTTTGGAGGGGTGATTCCTAAAATCCAGCATGTTTCTCCTACTGCCCTCTCTTTTTAATTAGGACTACAGGGATACAAGGGGGCTCTGCTATAACCTATCATTTTTCAACGCCCCACCTCCTTCTGTTCCCTCAAGGAAAATTAAGCTTCCTTCACCAAAATGAAGTAATATTTTAGAGCTTACAATGTGCCAGGCACATTGCATATATTAACACATTTACTTCTCACAACAGCCCAATGAGGTAAATAGTATCCCCCTTTTACACACAAGGACATTGACGCACAGGAATGTTAACTTGCAAAAGGTGACACAGCTAAGTAGTAGAAGAGCTGAAATGAATTTGGGTACCCTAATGTTAAACTGACCCTTCTGTTACCATTAGGGAGTTATTGCAGGTTCTTTCGCAAGGGAATACATTGACTCTTGCATTTCTTTCATTTTTCAGCTTCATTCTGCTTTCTCTTGCTTCCTATCCATCCTAGAGGGTAGTATCTATGATCCATTATCTCAAGTATCACTTCTCCCATAAGGTCTTCTTGACACCCCAGTCTCAGCCAATGTTTCTGTGTTTTTGTAATGTCTTCTATGTTCCTGTAGAACCCTGTGAATACCTCTGTCACAAGACTTACAAAGTGTTTAATTATTATCATTGTATTTGTCTGTATTAAGGAAAGGACTATCAGCTTATAAATCTTTTTTTATAGACAGATAATAAAGTGATTATTCACATCAACAATGAGCTAAGTAGAAACTGCATAAATAACAGAGGACTCAACATATTTGCAGTAGAAGTGGCACCAAAGTCTACAATGGTAATGTACTGTTTTCTAATTAAAGCTTTTGTTTTATCAATTTGAGGAAACATTTTTGCTATTAATGCAATGAATAAATGTATATATGAAATAAAGTGGAAAAATATTTTGAAAAATATGATACTCGTATTAGTATCATCGCACACTAGGAGATAGGACACTTTGGTTCTAATCCAGTTCTCACTATTTGGTTCAGTGATTATAGGGCATTCACTTAACCTCTCTATTCCAGTCTCTTTAAGTGTAAAATTAATATAATATCACCAGCATCAGGTATTTCACAAGGTTAATGTAAAGATAAAATGATGTACATGAAAGCACTTTTGAACATCATACAGAAATATAAAATGGTGTTACTAGTAATAGGAATTTTGATAATCCAAAATATTTTTATATACATTATTTAGATTTTCTAAGATAACCTGAAAGAGAAAGTGCTTCTGACTTTTAGATGACTAAGTCAAGAGCCAGGAACAGCTGTATTTCTGGTGTTAGCAGAACTCTGGGTTTAGCCAGGAGTTCAAAGGCAGGGACAGATAGTACACTCTGAAATCAGTCTAGTGAAGGGAAAAAGGAAAAAGCCTTCTATCCTTACCCTTTCTCTCTCCATACTATCCCAGAAATCCTAAAACATCTAGAATGGGATAAAGGGAGATTATCTTTTCTGTTATCCCAATGAGGATTTTAAAAAATGTTCTAGGTAGTAAGGAAAAGATATTTACTCCCCTTTCCACTACCCCTTTTTACCCACATTCACAAACACCAACTATTAGCTATTATATTAGTGTAGAATTTAGGCTGGATTATCCTATTGGACATCAGATCGTAGGTTGCAGGTCCCTGCTAAGAGCACATATTATAGAATTTTATATGCACAGGGATTTTTTTTACATAGGGTCTAGAAATGTTGTCCTATTGAAAAGGTAGCCAAAAATAACTATATAAAAACAGTAAAAGCCTTCTATTTTTATATGCAGGTTTGTCAACATGTAATGCCTCTGAATGAACGACAAGAATGGATATATTATTGTGTGTATTCCCTTATATCCTAAATATTGTTTTTAGGAAATAATTCTACTTGAGACTATCAAACTATGAAGAATTATTCCAGGTTAAGTCTGTTATTCATTGATCAACTAAATGCTAATCAATTTAACTGATGTACATAAATAATCTAATTTGTATGCATTTATGTTTCATGCTACATTATACACTTTATTGTTAAGTATAAATCATTTTTTTAATGTATGACCTTATTTAGTGGGAAATCTGCACACATTTTATTTATGAATAGTAAATAAAAAAATTACAGGTAAGCTTTTAAAAAATAATACTTAATGACTTCTACAAAAGCCTATACACTTTTTTTTTAAGTAAATATCAGCTTTTAATATTCCACATAAACAAAAAGTTCTTTGGGGTCCTTTTTTTTCCCAGAGTAAAGGGGTCTTGACACCAATAAATGAGAAAACCATGTGGCTTATGCCCAGCTGTGATTGTTCACATCTCGCTCCAACCTCGTAAGGCATTACTGTGATGAAACTACAAAAAATCCTATATAAGGCCCTGGCTAGGCTGAGGTTTTTGTCTGTTAATAGCCCAGGAAGCTGATTTGTGGTGACCTGTTGGACTTGGACCAGTTACTTGTTTTCTCCTTTTCTTTTTTTTTTCTGTTTATTTAAATTTTTCTTTTGTCTTTACACTTTTTCTCATTTCCTTTTTTATTTATAACTTTCCATTTTCTTATTTTTATTTGTCCTCTTTTCTCTTTTTTTCTCTCCCCACCCTTGCTTTGTCCTCTTTCCCAACCTGCACTTTGTCCTCTTTTCTCGGTTTTCTTTTTTCCTTTTCTTTTCTCATTTTTTCCTTTGTTCTTTTGTCATTTTTCTCATTTTTATTTTCCTTGTTCTTTTTCTCATTTTTTTCTTTAAAAGTTTTTTAGTTAGTATAATTAGCATTATTAGTACATTTAGTGCAGTTAGCATTCTTTACTATTATTTATTCGCATTGTTAGTAAGGATAGTTAGCATTGTTAGTACTAGTTAACATACTTAGCATTGATAGTTAGTGTTATCTGTTAGAATAGTTAGCGGTTCACCATGTTGAATGACCTTGCAGCCATCTCCACTGACAAGGATCACAATATTGACCACTACAAGCTGCTGAACACCATTGGCCAGGGAAGCTTTGCCAAGGTAACATTGGCCCGGCATGTCCTCACTGGAACAGAGGTGGCTGTGAAAGCCATTCACCAGCTGGGCTCATGCAGACAGTTAGAAGTTCATTGTCTGAAGCTATTGAACCACCCAAACATTGTGAAATTATTTGAAGTCATTGAAACAAAGCAAAGACTTTTCCTGGCAATGGAGCTTGTGTGCAGAGTGGATATGCACCGTTATCTGAAACACCACGGCCGCCTGAGTGAGAACGAGGCCCGAGGTATGTTCTGGCAGCTGGTATTCACCGTGCAGTACTGCTACCAGCGGGACATCATGCACAGGGACCTGAGACTGGAGAACATGTTTATAGATTCAGATCTGAATGTAAAAATTATAGGCTTTGGCCTCAAGAATGAATTCAGTGGCTATGAGCCAAGCATGGTCTGGTCTGTGGCAACTTCACTTATGTCGCCCCAGAGCTCTTCCTGGGATATTCATGTGGAGCTGGGAGTGCTGTTCTATAGGATGGTCACTGGAACCATGCTATTTGCGGGAGATGCTTCTTTATGCTCCGTCAGTGGGTCCTGAGAGCGCGCTTCCATGTGCCCCCCTTCCATGTCTATGACTGCTTCATGATCTTAAAGAAGTTAATGACAGTCAACCCCAGCGACAGAGCCACGCTAAAAAACCTTATGAAGGACCAATGGCTAACCTTGGGTGTAAAGAAGGAACTCAGGCCGTACACCGAACCCCCCTGTGAGAACATGGGCCCCTGGGTAAACCAGAAGATGATGAAAATGGGGTTCGAGTGGGAGCATATCGAGGATTCAGTGACACACAGGAGTTACAACAGACTGATGGACATGTACCTCATTCTCAGCACAACAAAACTGCAGGTAAAGGTCCGCACCATCAAAGTCAGACCCTTCTGTTGCTCGGACTCGAACAGACCAGAATCGAGCACCAGCATTCTGCAAACCAGCCAGGAATCGAGGACCAGCACTCACCAATCCAGGCTGGATTCAAGGACCAGCACTTTTCAGCCCCGGCCAGATTCAAGGACCAGACTCCCCAACCCAGGCCAGAATCGAGGACCAGCACTCCCCAACCCAGGATGGAATCTAGGACCACTATTCCCCAACCCAGGCCAGAATTGAGGACAAGCACTCCCCAACCTAGCACAAATTGAGGACTAGCACTCCCCAACCCAGGACAGAATCTAGAACCAGCACTCCCCAACCCAGGCCAGAATCGAGGACCAGTGACTTTCAACCCAGGCCAGAATTGAGGACCAGCACCCCCCAACCCAAGCCAGAATCGAGGACCAGTATTCCCCAACCCAGGCCAGAATTGAGGTTCAGCACTCCCCAACCCAGGCCAGAACTGAGGACAAGCACTCCCCAACCTAGCATAGAATTGAGGACCAGGATAGAATCTAGCACAGCACTCCCCAACCTACCATAGAGCTGGGATCCAGTACTCCTCAACCCAGCCCTGAGTTGAGGACCAGTTCTTGCAAACGCAGGGTAGATTTGAGGACCAGCACAGACCTGGCAGATTTACTCTATGCTGGACGTGCTGATGGTGTGACCCCATCCTGTTCCTTGGGCCACAGCCAAGGCTCTCAGCAGGTGGCTAGGAGGTTCTTGACCCTTATTTTAAATCACCTCTGCTGTTGGCCATCCACCAAGAAGCAAAGTAGTAGGTGGAACCAAGTAAAACTAATAATGTAATGCTTAAATGGTGGACGGCCAATGCAGGGCCACAGTCAAATACTCTGAGAAGGTCAAGCTACTCTTTCTTCATTTAAATGCTGAACTTAAAAATACTAAGCGCCAGGAAGGATGGCCACATGGTGTGGGAGATCAGCCAGAATCTGGACACAAACAGCTGTGGCTGGGAACAGTATGAGACTTACACGCTGTGTGTGAAGGACTGGATCCAACAGATGGTGGAGGAGTGCAGACTGCCCCAACATTCTCTGCACAGGATTCAAATCAGGATGGCACCCTGGCACCCGGCATGTCTGTGGCCTTAAGAAGCATCATACCCAAAATACCAGGTGAGCTTGGAGGAAGGCCTGGAGTCCCCTGGGGGACAAGAGGAAAAGCCGCCCTCACTGGAGGTCCACACCTCGGCCTCATCTGGGTGAAACTTCAGAGACTGGGCTGTTGTTTCTGGAGCCCTTGTCCCCACCCCTGCTCTTTTCTTCCATGTTTGTGGGGTGTGGGTGGCTCTTATTAAAGTACTGCGTTCTTCCAAATCTTGTAATAAACTGATGCTCCTGAAAGATGTCTCAGGTGCTCTTGTTTTGCCCCTTTCTGCACAGAATTGGGGCTGTGCATCCTCCAGGTTGAGAAGCGTGTAGTGATTTAGTGCTTGGACTTAATCAGACCACCTAATGGAAAAATAACTGAAGACAATGATCACTGCAACTCCCAATAGCAGTGAATGTGGTTGCAAAGGGAACAAACAGGCTGTGAGCCATACTGCAAGGCAGAAAGGCAGAAATTGTGTGTTAACTTCCTACACTCACATTACCTAATGTTTTCAGAAGGACCGAGGGGGACTTTGGGTCCTGTGGCCTGTGTTAATTAGGACCAAGAGGTTCACTATAGGATAGCAAAGTCCCATGAATCAGAGAAGTGCAAGGATGTGTGCCCCAAAGCAGCTAAGGGTCACTGAGCTGTCCAGCTGTTTCCAGACTATATGGCAGGAGTCAAGCCTTCCTGCTTCTCCATCAGGATGAGACCCCAATGCGCAGCTTTGACAGTAAAATAGAGAGGAGGCACGAGGGCAGGAGGAAGCTGCAGTGTTAGGTGCGTACAGGACAGAGGTGGGGGGTGAGGCTGGGAAAGGGGGGTTGGGCCAGCACCCCTTGTTTTGAGGACCACCCCCACTGGTGCATTTTGCACCATCTCCAAACTTAAACATTCCCCAGCTCAGGGCCTGGACAGCAGTCAGCTCCGATGACAACCCTCTGCTCAGGGGACTCTCCTTCTGTGAGCTCTGGCCTTGGCTGGCTGGCCCAGTGGCTGCCTCTGGTCTCCCTCATTAGCCCCAGCTCAGTGCCACAGGAAGGGCTTTGGGTTTTGTTCTGAAGAGCAGGGGATCCCGAGCAGGGAGGGACATGATCAACTGCCACTGGACAAGACGCCTCTGGCTGCATGTGCACAGTGGCTCGCCATGGGAGAAAGAGAGCCTCAGAGGCAGTCACGGAGTCCCACCAGCCTCTTGCCAGCAAATCTGCTGAAAATCACTCACTGGCCCACGATTTCCAGCTGCTTCCTGAATTAGGAATTACCTAATGCAATTTTCTGGTGGACAATCTATCATAAAGCATGAACTCAGGATAGGGAGTGGTGGGTGGTAGGAGGGAACATTAAAAGGTGTGTGGCAGAGACATCCAGGTGGCTCCCAAGACCTTGCCCTCTTCTCTCTCAGAGCAAACTAGCACCTGACTTAGAGCTGAGCACGTGGCCGCCCAGCACTACAGAATTCCCAGCCTCTCCTGCAGCTAGGCTGGGAGAGTGACCAGGCTCTCCTGTATGTATGTGTATATATACAGTTGAAAGATTGCTGTGGTATGGACCCCTGTATTCACCACCCTAGTCAGTAAATGGGACATTTCCAGTAGCCCAGAAGCCACTGGTGTCCCTCCTGACAATAAGCCCTCTCCCAAGGGTGACCAGCACCCTAACTTTTATGACATTCATGTCCTGCCAGTCCTCCTAGTTTAACTTCCAAGTGGGCACTTCTCAGCTGAGGCATTGAGTTTACCTGTTTTACTGCATGCAGCTGGATTATGATGCGTGCCCTCTTTGGGGACTGGCTGCCTGGGGGACTCACCATGCTCCTGGAGCAGCAGGGGCTCATGCATTCCCATGCTGTTTAGTGTTGTGTGCATGGGCTACGTTCATCCAGTCTCCTGGTAGACACACTAGGCCCATTCCAGCTCGGGCTCCAGAGCATAGGGTCACGGGCTGTGTCACCCGTTTCCCTGGTGACTGGCATTTATACCGAGGAGTAGAGCTCCAGAGTCAAAGGGTGCTCTGACCTTCCTGGGTAAAGCCACCGTCTTTTCTAAAATGAGACACTTCTGTGTGCCAGGTCCTGTGCTGAGCTGGAAGGTGGGTGGGGGCAGCATTAATCAAAGTATTACTCAAATCTAAGCCGCAGACTGGAGGG